TGAGCACTTCGTGCATATGGTCCACAGACAAGCATGCAGGTGAAAACACCCACACACATACAATAAAAACAAAACAAAACAAAGAACAAGCATATGCTAGAAAGTTCTGAACTGCAGATGTGAAGACAAATGACTCTACCCAAATAAACAGGCTGAGGCTGGAGAGACGGTGAGTGACTGTGATTCAAGCCATGCAGTTGTTTGGGAATTTAAATCCAAGCAGCCCCGGGATCCTGGGTTCCAGTTGCATTAGAACTTCACATGCAAATAACAAGAACATGACCAGTAGCAACAAGTATAACCCAAGAACATTTGCCTAATAATTAATGAAAGATAAGACCTATAAGCAAATTACACTCAAAGGAGAAATACTGAAATATTGCTTGAAATGTCAGCACAATACATATTTTACCAGCAGTCTTAGTTCCTTGACATCTGTTTTCCACACGATCACGTCTTGGTCATATCCACTCCTTACTCCCTGCTGTAACTCTCTGAGCTCCTCTGTCCCTCTCTCTACTTATTGTGTCCCCTTTCCTTTAAAATCAGTCAATCAATCAATCAATCAATCAATCAATCAAAAACATTTTATTGATTCTTTGTAAATTTCACATCACACACTCCAAACCCACTCATTTCCCTGTTCCTCCGTATTTGCCTCAGCCCGTGCAACCTCCCCACCCAAGAAAACAAAATGTAAAACAAACTACCATCTCATTGTGAAGCTACTCTGTGTCACATAATACACCCTTTTGCCCAATCAGCTTTGTTTGCAAATACCAGTGCTCTTAGCTGCCATCTTTCCACCTTCTCCTATTTTTTTAAACATATATAATGTACTAAGTTCAAGTAGAGGTGGCCATGGTATAGAGTTGCTCATGGCATAGGGCTGCCCACTGGAGCATGGGGAACCTACCAGAGGCCACATTTCTGAAGAAACAACAACAACAACAACATCAAGCTACCTGTCTCCAAATAGTGCACAACTGTAGTTCCTTTTTGACCATCCATAAACATACACCCAAGAAATAGAGACAGATTGCATATCACCCCTAGAGAAAAATAGAGTTTTACAAGAGTATTGGCTAGACATTCCCTCTCCTGCTAGCTGAAGATAGTAAACCACTTTCCCACTGCCTCCAGAACACGCAATTGAATAGAAGATTGTGCACCCTAACATACCCATCTTTTTGAGATCGACAATTTACAACGATCAATAAAAATGAGAAAAAAGTGCTTTGCTTTTTATATTGTATGTCTTTTGTTTGCTTTTCATTATTATGCCTATATGGTCAATTAGTTACCTACAGAGGCAGTTTTAAATAACCAGAGACCTGCATGTGTTGTCTGTGTTTGGTGTTGTGAATACCAGCCCTTGCACTTCCTCCTGAACCACCCTGCCTAGTGTCCTTAAGATGTAGCACAGTTATATGTTCATTTCCCTATCTCTCCTTCCTCTGCTGGAGATAGATCTTTAATTAGCCTTTTTTTTTTTTTGAGCTGCCAAGGTATTATTTGGTAGAATTATTTCAGAAAATTGACATCCCTAAAGAGCAAAGCAGCTTGTTCCCCACCCCTCTGCCTTTATTTACTTATTTATTGAATGAGTACATGTTCACTCTGGAAATTACAGATCAGGCTGAGTCACTTGCTACATTCGGAGTACCTAGAACAAGTCATATGACAGTCTATAATCATGCATAAAATTGCTGAAATGCTGCATGGCAATCAACAGGCTTTGTGAAGAAGAAATCTTCCAGAAGCCTTTAAGTCACTCCATGAGAAGAATGTGAGACACAGGACAGGCAATGTGGGTAGCAATGACACTGTCTATAGAACTCAAACCAAAAATACGACAGACCATGTATGATGAGGGACAAGTCAGCAGAGCTAAAGGACACTGTCATGCCAGAAGGTTGGTTGTTCCGGTGAAGGCCATTTGTTTTTGTTTGGTTTTGATTCTGAGGCAGGGTTTTACTGTACAGCGTAAGTGGTCTTGAACACATTGTCACCCCGCCTTAGCCTCCCAAGTACTGTGATTAGAGATGTGTGTCACTGTTAAGTCAATTTGTCTCAACAGTCAGCCTCTGTGCTGAGCGGCTGTCAGGGCTAGGTTGGTCTCCATTCACCATTCTTGCCTGGGTGGAAAGGCAGACTTCTGCCATGCTGGGTATGATGACACCCGTTTAACATATATGATCACAGTGAATTTCCCTAAGAAGCACAGGGATGAGAATTAACTCAACTTTTTTACAGGTGAGAACTGGAACTCACGGCATTTAGCACTCTGCCCTGCTTTGCTCAGATTCATTAAATACACAGCCTTTCTGTAGAGCCCTATTTGCGAGAAGCCCCCTTCTCTGCTTTTCAACTGGGTGGAAAGAGGACTCAGGGGGCCCTGCCTCGTGCATATCTGAGCCCACAAAGGGCAGAAGAAGGCATCCTATCTGGAATTACCAATGGTTGTGAGCCTCGTTGTGGGTACTAGGAACTGAACTGGGGTCTCTGCAAGACAGACAAATGCTCTAAATGGCTGAACCATCTCTCTAGCTCCTGTTTCCACAAACCTCTTTGTTTGAGTTCTTTTCTTACTTCTGTCAGCTTCTAAAGTTCACACCTTGCTTTCTTTTGAATTTTCTCTCCCTGAGGAATAGAGCAGATAAGCAAACAGCAGGTACTCTTTAGATTTTTATAGAATTAGTGAATGAACATAAAATACTTATGGAAATGGAAAAGATAATCAAAACATAAAATTACTTTTTATCATTTTATTCTCATTTCATACTTGGGTTATGGCTGTTGGGGCTCTGCAAGGCTCACCTGTGTTTCTAGATCATGGCAGGCCACACTCAGGGTGTGGCCTGGTACCCTGATTATTTTCTTGTCAAACTGACATAAACCTAGACACACCCGAGAAGGAGGAACTTTAGTTGAGGAGTTGCTCCCAACAGGTTGGCCTGTGGTCATGCTTGTGAAGCATTTTCTTGATTACTAATTGAGGCAGGAGGGCCCAGCCCATTGCGGGCAGTGCCATCCTTAGCAGATGGGCCTGGGTAGAAGAAGAAAGCTATCCAGAGGGTGCAAGCCAGTAAGCTGGGCTCTTCCCCGGTTTCTGCTTGAAGCGCCTGCCTTGAGTTCCTGCTCAGCTCCCTTCTGCAGTGGAGTTTACACAAACCTCCTCCCCACTTTGTTTTTGGTAATGGCGTTTACCACAGCAGCAGAAAGCACACCAAGATACGTGGCAACATGGGTAGCACTCTCTCCCAGGATCAGCTGATGAGATCGGAGGTGTAAGTGCATTCTGATTCCCAAGCTGAGCTTTGGCCCAGGTTTCAGTAAATGTCACCAGAGAACACCATCCTCCCAAATACACTTCAGCTACACAAGGTCCACCAGGCAGAGATGAAGAGAAACACATTGTCTTCTCTAACGGTCTTTGTTGGCTTTCAATCAGCTCTCAGTCAGCTCCAGAGGCTGGGCCCACGGTCACTTATACAACCTTGGAGCTTCTTCAAGCTGAACAGCATAGCTGGCACCCAGGTGCAATGTCTGTGCTAAGCTAAAAGGAAGCCACACCCACAAGAGGTTATGAAGAAATGTGAAGTGGCATTTTAAGCTGTAATAATCTAAACTAAGGAGTAGATGGTGGAGTGGCTCGGGGTAGCAGAAGTTCCCATCTGCTCTCCCTCCAACCTGCCAAGCATTTTTGTATTCCTTTCCTTGTCAAATGACGGGTATCCCATTCAGGAATTGTGAGAATTTTATATTCTCTTTTAAAGAAGAGGTTTATTTGCAATTTTCTGTGGGAAAAATGATTGGAAAGTGTGTCCTGGTTTTGCCACACTGGTCACTTTGGGGACATCAGCTTTTTAGTCTTTCCCCTGGAGGCAATTAGCCACAACCCCAGGATAGCCAGGTATGGAAAAGCCACTGCACCTCTGGCTTATAGTCAAGTTTGGAAATATAAGGAAACAAATTTAATACACTGAGACAATGCCAAACAGCTTTCTAGAAATGCAAAATGTGACTTCAAATTGGCCTGGCATATGTTATAGTCTTTCCATAGATTTTCCCTGTGTCCGCTTGGGCTCCTGTTTCCTTACCCGTTTATGGTATTGACTGGGAAGTAGAGATACCACAGGCTTTTAGTTCAAACAAACAAAACCAGGAAAAAACTAAAAGAAGATAGAGGCACTACACACATGGCCTGTTTTTTCACTGCACAAGTAAAAGCCACAAATGGCATCATTTAAAGTCAATCTATGACCAGGAAGATTAAATGGGGGGGGGGCACACACAAAAATGTTAACACATAGGACAAAAGTAGAGACACTAATTGAGAGGCAAAAAGGCAGTCTTAAAATGGATATGTCATTCTTAAATAAGCAATAGGTGGAAATGTTCCCTGTGCAAGTCTCTTGTTCTGCAAACAGCTCCTTCACCAGTTTGTGCAATTCCGATGAGAAAGGACAGAGAAAGTACATACTGATAAAGTTTTTGAGCTCCAAGAATGCAGACATCTTACAGGCTTCCCCAAAGAAAATGAAATCCAGCCAGCCAGACACAAGCCTATTTATTTTCAACTGACAAAAATAAATGAAAAAGATGTTGGCACTGGAGTGTTCTCTACAACCCTAGGTTCTACAAGAGTAAGGAATGAGATCTATAGATGATGAGGAGAAAAAAAAAATGGTGAAAATTCTTTAAAGTGAAGAGACACACCGCAAAGGTAATAGTTATTGTCATAACCTAGGGCAAAATGACTAAGCCAGAGGACATAATAGATACCAGCTCTGCTGGGTAGAGGTGGAACAGGAGAGCCTGCACCTAAGACAGTTGGCATTTATGTATGAACATATCTATTCAGCAATTGCAAGTAAAACAATTTTCTTTTTTATTCTCTGGAGTCCTAGGAACTGAGGATCCCAAATAGATATTCCATGTTTTCTTCTCTAACACATGCTTTAGGGAAATTTGGTAATGGAGACAGTGGGTCTTACTTTTTGATCAATGTATTTGTTGTCTTCAGCTGTGGGCCGCTTGGGATTATCACATGATGAGGAAGAGGTGGAAGGGAGGATTCTGAAGAGACAGCAGGTGTCCTGTTGCTGGCGGTCAATGAACTGTTTCATGAAGCTTTCCCTTTGTAAGTGACATACACACATCAGGCGTTATTCAGGAAATGGAGCCGGAGGTGGCATTCCACAGAGATCAGGAAGCATTGCAGAAGATCACAAAAAAGACGATGTGTCATACCAAGGGCAGTGGTTAGATTTAATTACCAAAATATTGAACTTAGAAAAAGCTTCCCGAATCCTTGCAAACTTCTGTTTTAAAACATAATGTCCCTGAAATAGCTTAAAAGCAAGGGTATCCAATAATTGATGGTGTGATTTGAACCCTACCATGGTAATGAGAGGCTTTATTTCCCCTACTACTTGAAAGAATTAATTCATCTTTTCAAGCTTCTATTCATCATGAAAGTCTTTGAGAGACAATTTTACATTTAAAGACTCAAAAGGAAAAGACTTCATCTGATCTCCAAAACATGGTGAAAAATTTAAATAACATTAATGCAACTAAGCAAAGTCAGTTAAGCTAATTCGAAATACAAATGCTGTCATGTGCTTCATAGAGACACTTCAGTCACCAACAGGCTGCATGTAAATGGTGTTCCCATTTGCCCTGTTCCACCAGTGAGGTATCACCCACCATAATCTACCTCAGTAAGTTTCTCATGTTGACAGAATGCTGAAGATTCTGAAGAGTCATTGCCTTGAACATTCTCCCGGCACTAAGTGACATGACTGTCTTTTTCTATTGAATTTAACGTGTTTTGACACTGTACCTAATCGCACACTTTCATAATCCCTCACCAAGATATTTAAAGATAAATAAGAAAATAAAAATAGAAAAATTTATATTATTTTGATTGTACTTGAAGCTTTTTGAGTTATCATTGGGAGACTTTCCTTTCATAATTAAGAGCAGGCAGTCCTAACCACCTTCTCTGTATGTGTTTGTTTAGCAGGGAGTACAAACTGAATCAGTGTGGGTGTAAATGCTATGCTTTACCCAGTGGGAGGCAGATTACACTGTGACCAGATGGCCATACATGCAAAGACTGCTATCGCACAGACATCTCCCAGAGCTGGGTGCCCCAGGTGCCTGCTCAGACCTTAGTCTACCAGCTTTCACACTCTGAGCACAGGCCATCCTGTTTATGCCTGGGAGGTCTAACCCAAGAGGGAGACCAGACACAAGCCTGTGCCTCACCTGCCTCTTCTCTGAGGGGACTCAAAGGTTGTGTACCACAAAGGCAGGGAGAACAAGATCCCAAAGCCACCCGCAGACCAGTCTGAAAAAAAGGCTGAGGGAGGCCTAAGATGGTCAGCCAGGTAGTAGAGATTGATGTAACCTGCTTAGACTCTATAGCCCCTCTGTGGAGACCTACTTCAGTTCTTGGCATAACTGTAGCTTCTCTGTTAGCACCTGGGGCGCCTTCAGCACAGCAGAAGCCATTTTGCCTCTAAGTCTCCATTTTGATTATAAGGTGACTTAAGTTCAAGTTCCCAGGCCCTATGTGCCTGAGACCAGGATAAAATTCAGTAGTTCAATACTTGCTGCTTAGCATAGAACAACAGATGATAAAGGCATGTTCTGCTTGAGTTAAAGATAACTGTGTGTTCTGTTAGAGTTAAGACTGCTACATGCTATGTTCCTCACTCCCAGAAAGGTGGAAAGCCCTCAAGAGCTCCCTTACCCTAGATCCCAGCCAATCAGCTTGAAGTGCTTTGTCTAGCTACAAGAGTCTTGGAACAAAATCGTTATGTTTAGCTGTTCACTATGAGGTAATGCTGCCCCACCCTCACCTCACCTTCCTACACCGGTTACCTGGTTATGGTTTCTCCTATAAAAAACCTGTCTTAGAAACAGACCACTGTCACAGTCTGGTTCCCGAGTCCAGGCTGTGGCCCTGACTGGTTAGTTTTTGTTCAGTGTTCAGTAAATTTCCATCAGTCTGAGTCTGGTGTTCACACGGTCAGTGGGCAGCTATTCCTGAACCCATAACAGAGAAATGCAATCAAAGAAACAATTTGATACCTGATCTTAGGAACTGTAAAGTCTGAAGGAAGTTTAGAGATTTTCACCATTTGTGGTCTGTTTGGGAATTTTTCAAAGATTCTCAAGCGCAAAGGGAGCTTTTCTTTGGTGTCCGCATTTGCTTCACTTTGCTTTAACTAAAGGGGAGAAAAAAGAAAAAGAAAAGAAAAGGAAAAAAGAGGATCCCATTGAAATGAGTAGTTTCAGACTTGAGGGAATAACCTGTAATTACAAATACAACCTGTAGATGGCAGAAAAGACCCACCAAGCACATGACACAGTAGTCTGTCCTTCCAAGTCCTAAAACTGAGTTCCTGGGAAGGACAGAAGTTTACAGAAAACTAAACCAGTTAAAAAAAAAAAATTCAGAGGACTACATCTGAGCAGGAGATCTAGGTCCTCTCCATGCATGGTCCTTGACTCATCAGTTTCTGCAAGACTCCCTGACCCCAGGATTTTTGGCTCTGTTGATCTCCTTGTGGAGTTCCCCTCCAGGTCTTTCATCTCCCCCTTCTTTCACAAGATTCCCTGCACTCTGCCCAAAGTTTGGCTATGAGTCTCAGCATCTACGTTGATACCCTACTGGATAGAGTCATTCAGGGGCCCTCTGTGGAAGGCTCCTGTCCTGTTCCCTGTCTTCTCCTACTTCTGATGTCTATCCTGCTTACACCTTCTGAATGAGGATTAAGCATCTTCCCTAGAGTCCTCCTTGTTGTTTAGCTTCTTTGTGACTATAGATTTTAGTATATAGCCCATTGGCACTCAGTCTCAATGTGGGTTCCCTAGTAAGAGGAGCAGGGGCTGTTTCTACATGGACTCAGTGGCTGGGGCTTTGATCACCTTCCTCTGGTGAGGTGGTCTAACTAGGCCACAGAAAAAGAGGATCCAGCCAGTCCTGATGAGACCTGACAGGCTAGGGTACGATAGTAGGGAGGAGAATGTCCCCTATCAGTGGACTAGAGGAGGGACATATGGGGGAAAGAGGGAGAAAGGGTGGGACTGGGAGGAGAAGAGGGGCCAACAGCCGGGATACAAAGTGAATAAATTTTATTAAATATTAATAATAAAGAAAAAAATTTAAAAAATAAGAAAAGAAGTGGGAAAGAAATCAGAGGAAGGTTTTGTTATTGTACTTGCAAAGACAACTTTACTTTGCTCCCGTATGTTATCTTTTGCTTTTTATTCATGATTAAACATTCACCTTTATTTTATACACACACATGGCAGAAGTAGCAGGGACTTACTTATCTGCTTAGGTAACTGAAGGGGATGTATTTATATTTGCACAAATGAGGTTTACCTGGAGCCAATATGGAACTAAAATTCAATCTTTGCTAGTATTCAGTCTGTGCTTTCTTATCCCCTTTTCCTCCTTCCAGTGGTGTTTTTGTTGTTGGTGGTGCTGTTATTTTTGTTTGTTGTTTTTCATTTCTCCTCACCTCTCTTTGCCTCTTAAGAGGGCCACTATGTCAATATCAGTTAATATCTTCCCTATTTTCTATGCCTCTCCAGACTGTAACAGTAGTCCTACTAATTCATGGTGGTTTAAGAGGGCATCAAAGCCACTTGCTGATGGCTGCTTAAATGTGCTTTCACTTTAAAACCGCATAGTTTAGATCAGGAAGTTAGAAGCAGAATTCCAGAAATCCTTGATAATTAAAAGGGATGGACGAGATACCTTTTACTGACATGTGCAGCTATAACTTGGTCAGAAGGAATGGAAGTGAGGCACTTGAGGGCGATGCCAGACCTCAGTTCCAATAATCAGTGGTTCAGTTCTCCATCTTTCTGGAGGGGTAGCAAGGTCAGGGGTCCTCAACCCTAGTTTTCTTATCTTTAACTATATTTGATTATTTAATTCTGTGAAACATGTATGGATTGCTTTGCTATGCAGAATCTACTCGATTTGGTGGGAAGCCTTCAATCTTGGGCTATAATCCTATTTGGGGAGGGGCTACTGCTGTTTTCTCTCCTTCAGCACGGCAATGTATGCAGAAGACATGTATATGATATGATGGTTGTTGATGATGATGACGATGGTAAAGTCCTAGCACTCAGGACCACAAAAAATAGCATGCATCACCAGGATATGAGAATAATCAGAAAAGAGACTGTACATAAATAAAATCTTATGATTTTTCTAACATGTCACTGATATACTGTTGGTGAAAATTTGCCAGAGGTAAATCAGGTCTACAGAGAAAGAAAAAGCTGCTGACTTATTAAGGCAGACTAGACAGTAAGGCAATCAATGATAGCAGGCCAAAGACTGATAAGATTGATAGCGTGGATAGGTGCTTGCTCAGTTGTGTTTGCTGACTCATTTGTTTAGATAGTTGTGCTGTCACTTCTTGAACCAACCCAACAAGCCAGATTTTGTGCAAAATCCTGAGGCTATAAAAATAAAGGGTGCCTGCATTCTCCCTCTCCCAGCTCACATCATAACCCACAAGATAGCTGAATAAACAATTACCCATAAAAGATAATCACTACTATGGAAGAGATATGACCGGAGTGCGTGGGAATCACTTTGAAAGACCTCGTAGGCAGCAGAATGGCTGCACATGACTCCGGTTGCTACTGCTGAGGGTCTAACCTGTGTGGACTGACCGTGTATTCTGCCAGGGTAAGACACAAGGGCAAAGAGTTTGTTAGTCAGAACATCTCATCAAAATGAAAATCCTAAGACCTTCCTGAAACCCTTTCACCTACACAAGGACCTCATTGACCGAGGTTTCGCAAGTCCTGTTATAGTTCTCTACCACATAGAGAAGACAGATAGGTGATAAGTTAGCTTCTTATCACCTGTCTGTCCATTCTGTAATTACAGAATATCAGTTTTTGCCTTAAAACCTTTCTCTTGTTACTCCGATGCTTTTAAAAGAAAAATGATCAAAAGCTTCCATTTGGACTCACAGCCTCATTTCCCTCCTCTCTACCTCTGTCATTTTAGTTTTCCAGGTGTCCAAATAACGACTTCTTTTAGAGCCTCCCAAGCGCGTGCCCCCCCTTCTGCTGTGCCCTCTGTTGCTCCCCCTTCTTTCTTGAACATCATGAGCTTCTTGTTCTTGGGGTTTTAGCTTCTCACGTGATTCTTGAGAGGATCGTTTTCTGACCACCAGTGTTCTGCTTAGGAGCTCACAGCACATTGAACTGGGTTATAGAATGTCGCTGTTCACATGGGTCAAAGCAGTGAGAATCCTTGTTCCCTTGTGTTAACCCAACACAGATTTTAATAGTTTTCTAGGCTGCTGAAGCAGGTATCAAAATATTGGTAGCCCTGTGCATCCGAAGCTACCAACCCCTCCAGCATCAATGAAGTAATTTCTGAATCAAGGCTTTTCCTGAGCTCTGTGCTCTTTGAGGGCTTCAAGGAAGACTCACCCTTACCACTTTCTAATGTCCTGTGATTCTCTGTAGGTTTGTGTCTCACTCCTCCATCTCAATCCAGTGCCCTATGTCTTCTTCCCAGAGCCTTTCCCCAAATCTCTCTCCTTATTCTTCATAAGGAATGTAAACATCAGAGTCAAGACCCAACCTCATCCAGAACGAGGAGGCCTGATTTCCAAGTCTCGTTCTGAAGTTCAATTGGCTTGGGGAGGCACTGTTAAGCTTACCGTACACATCATCATTTCAAGTAGTTTTCTCTCACATAAATCACAGCAAGCTCTTTCCCCAAGAGTATGAGTGGGCCAGAAAGCTGGTGGATTCATCCTAACTGTGTCCTGGCACAGTGGTTAACATGAAGTCATCTAAGAAAATTGCTACTGAATAAATGGCACTAAGTGAGTGGCAGACAGAAATGCTGTCACAAACAATGTAGAAGCAAAAGAAAGCCTGGTAGAGTGGACAGAGTTGTAGATAGTATCTATTTGTTAATTGGGCAGCTTAACTTTTTTGGTGTAGAGTATAGGAACCCTCCATTTGCAGAACAGAATAAAGTTAAGACTCTTGCTGCATTTAATTGATCTTGATGTTTGTCACTGAGAAGCTGATGAATGTTTGGACTATGTTTTGTCAGGGGCATGATGGCAATATGGCAAATTAGAGCTAATCAAGCCATGGAATACGGTGATCAATACAGTAGACCTCCTTTCTTGCATATTTTAAAAATGGATCTGGTGGAATTCTAATTTGCAACAGGGACATTAATATTCCCAAGAGTACTTAGGCTCTTTATGGGCAAGCTTCCACTTTTAAAATTCCTTCCTTCCTTCCTTCCTTCCTTCCTTCCTTCCTTCCTTCCTTCCTTCCACCCTTCCTTCCTTCCTTCCTAACTTCCTTCCTTCCTTCCTTCCTTCCTTCCTTCCTTCCTTCCTTCCTTCCTTCCTTCCTGTTTTCTTGCTTTTTCTTTCTTTCATTAAATTTTTATTTTTATATTAATTACAGGTTATTTACCTTGTATCCTAGCTGTAGCCCTTTCCCTCATTCCCTTCCAATCCCACCCTCCCTCCCTCATCTCTCCTTGTCCCTCTCTAAGTCCACTGCTAGGTGTGGACTCATCAGGTCTCTTCAGGACTGGCTGCAATGTCCTCCTTTGTGGCCTAGCAAGGCTGCTCCTCCCTCAGTGGAGGGGGGGCAGTCAAAGAGCCAGCCACTGAGTTCATGCCAGAGACAGTCCCTGTTCCCCTTACTAGGGTACCCACTTGGATACTGAGCTGCCATGGGCTACATCTGAGCAGGGGTTCTAGGTTATATCCATGCATGGTCCTTGGTTAGAGAAACAGTCTCAGAAAAGACCCCTGTGCCCAGATATATTTTGTCCTTGTGGAGTTCCTGTCATCTCCAGGTCTTACTAACTCCCCCTTCTTTTATACGATTTCCTGCACTCTGCTGAATGTTTGGTTATGAATCTCAGCTTCTGCTTTGATACACTGCTAGGTAGAGTCTTTCAGAGGCCCTCTGTGGTAGGCTTCTGGCCTGACTTGTTTTCTCCTACTTCCAATGTCCATTCCATTTGTCTTTCTAAGTGAGGATTGATCATCTTACTCCAGGTCCTCCTTCTTGTTTAGCTTCTTTACGTGTACAGATTTTAGCCAAAAGCAATCTACAGAGTCAATGCAGTTCCCATCAAAACACCAACACAATTCTTTACAGACCTTGAAAGAAAAATTCTCAACTTCATATGGAAAAACAA